GAAATCAAATGCTTACGCTTCCCCCCACTACCACATCCCCACTCCGTCGCCGCTCATGATGATGATGCCTCCCCCCATGCCCATACCCCCCATGACCATGATGATTAGAATGAGAATGGGAGTGGGCATGCTCCTCCCGCCCCGCCGCCACCGCCTCGCTTGCCTCGCGCGCCGCCAGGCCGCCTACGATGGCGCCTAGCACGCCGACGCCTAGGCCTGAGGTGGAGGGGGTGAAGGTGGAGGAGAGGAGGGAGTGCGCTTTGTGGAGGGGGGAGTGGGAGTTGGAATGGGAGTTGCTCCGTCGGTGGTGGTCGCGGTGGTGGTGGTCATGGTTTCGGCGGTTGTGGGGGCGGAGGGAGTCGTAGTCGGAGTCGGTGGGGTAGGAGAAGTCGACGGAGGAGGTGGAGGAGGAGCGGGAGCGGTGGGTGCGGGCTCGCTCGCGGTCCCGGTCGCGGGCGCGGCGGCGGTGGGCGAGGATGGTGGAGTCGGCGGGCATGGTGGTGGCGGGGTAGGTGTCGGCGTAGGTGTCGGGGGGTCCGGCTGAGCGGGAGCGGGAGCGGGAGCGGGAACGGCGTGGACCGGGGCCGGCGGCACCGGAGGCTACGGGGGGGTAGAAGGGAGTGTGGGGCTCGAATTCGAAGCGCGGGTGGCGGTCGTCGACTGGGGGGCCGGGGGTGGGTGAGCGCCGGCGGGGAGAGCGCTGGTGGTGGCGGGGGACGTAGTCGTCGGAATCGGAATCGGTGTGGAAGCGTGGCATGGTGGGCGGTTTGGTGGTGGTGGTGGTGTTGTTTGTGTTGATGTGAGATGAGAAGGTGTGAAGGTGTGATGGCTGCTGAGATGGTTGATATAAGATCCGGTAGGTACCTCTGGCCTCTCACTTCCTTGTGCTCTATGAACGAGGCTGTGTGTGGCGACAGGAGCTGCCGACTCTGAGAAACGTCGGATCAATTCTTGAGAGGATGCACAACGCAACTGTTGTGTAAGTTGCCTCGTTCTGTGAAGAGGCGACACGATAAGGCTCAGGAATCACGGTTTTCAAGGCGGCGAGAGTAATGCTGTGCGCACTCACACTCGGCTCAAGTTGACGCCTTGAAGTGATATATCAGATTCGCGAAAACGAGGCTCTGGAAGGGATTTGTGAAAGAAAGGTTTGGGTTTGGTTTGTTTTAGGTCCACTCGCCACGTTGTTGGTGAAGAAGATCAAGTTAGTTCGTTGGGGATTGGCCGGGGCAAGGTTAATCGCAAAAGAGCCTCGCTCTAAATGCATTTATTTCAGGGCCCAGGGGCTGACGTGGATGCCATGGGATGCCATGGGATGAACGGGCGTTCAAGTTGAGAGTGGGTGGCGATGATGTCACCGGCCAAGCAACGGATATGACAGGTAGCATCCTCCAGCCTTCTGTCCCATATTTGTTGGCAGTCTGCCTCTCCAACCTTTGCCAGAAAGGATTCGGGATCAGCGCCTGACAGGCATGTTCGTTTCACACACGCCTCCAACGTAGATCAACGTTGAAGTGGGTTAACCGTTAAGGGAGGCTAGTGAGGAGACGGCACTTGCGACATTGGTTGTACACCGAGCGAGGCTCTGACAGAATTAGCATTAGATACTAGACAATAACAATCAAAACGCTTTTCCAACCCTTTCCTGTACCCCGCACCCTTTTGCCACCCCAAGCAACCCAAGTAAAATGGCAGCGGTGATCCGGCTCAATACGTCAAAACATAAGGAAGATCCGTCGCGTCTTCCGCGCTAGCCAAGCGAATGACCGAGCCGCTTCCCCCGGACCGCGAGCTGCGCGAGCTCGAGCCGGACGACTGGCTGACCGGGTACGCGTGCCTTGTGTGCGCGAAGCTCTCCGAGCTAGACTTTCTCGAAAAGCCGGTATGCCGACTCTTGGGCGTCGTGGGAGCGGTGCGGAACTGCCAGGTATTGGCCGACGAGTTGCGCAGCCCGAGGCCCGGCCGGCGGCGTCCCGAGCCGTCCGTGCTAGAGCTCGACCGGCGATCTAGGCCGCCACCATCTTTGGCGCCGGACATCATGAACATCCCCCGGGTAGTCCCTGCGCTCGACGGACTGGTCCCGCGAGGCGCATCGTTGTCGATGTCGCTTTCCGAGGGGGCGGGCCCGGACGACCCGTCGTCTTCGTAGCTCGCCAGCGCGGCGGGGCTGAGAGGGTGCATGTGACGCAGGACCTCGGAAAAGAGGTGCATCAGGCTGCGGAACCGCTCGTTGGACAAGGGGCGGCCAGAGTAGCGGGCGGCTTCGTATTTCTCTATAAACTCGCCAGTCAGGGGCAGCGGCGCAAGGACAGCCAATTCGGTGAGGTACGTTAGATATTCGCGTAACCCCATAAACTCCGGCCTCTGGAGAAGGGCGATCGCATCTGGGTCCAGCGCCGGGGGGTCCGAGTGGGATTCCGGGTCAGGGGGGGCGAGTGTGATAGCCTTCGCCTCAATCAGGTTGGGCAGCTCCGTGACGACTGTGTCGTACTGCAGGTTAGGCAGGTCGTGCGACATGGGCGATCCCCAGCCTGGGTGTTCGATATCGCCCCAGACCGGCTTGGGTTGTGAGGGCCCGGTGGCTTTTGCATCCCTGTGTGCCGCGGGCGCCCTAGATGCGGCGCTCTTCTTGGATTCCGCAATTGACGGCCCAGGCGCGGCGGAATTGGAAGAAGCCTGCCTATTCCCCCTATCACTAGAAGCGGGCCCCGATCCGAGCACCACCAGCGGTACCCGCGGCCTGGCGTCAAATGCGATCGCGGCACTCCTGGCGAGCCCCTCGACGATCATCTGGCGCACGTCAGGCGGGACGTCGCCCTTCTCTATGGGGACCCATCCCTTCGGTATGGATGCAAGCACGGAACGGCTGATGTAGAGGCGGGAGGCGTAGATAAAGGCAACGACGAGAATGGTCACGACGTAGCAGACGAGGACGACGAGGATGTCGTAGTTTCGATGGCGTTGGACGCCCTGCTGGATAAGATCGATGGGGGTGACGACGAGGAAGGCGAGTAGGACGAGGTATAGAAAGTAATAAAAGAAGTTGTAGACGATGAGGAAGAGGAGGGAGGCGGCCGACATGGTGGTCGAAGTCATGGTTTATGGTTTGGTCGTGCTCCTCTCAAGATCCGAGGTTCACGATGCGCTGATACGCGAGTCGTGCGCGGTTGGGGACTGATGCTGGTCATGGCTGCGCCAAACTCGGGTTGGACATTGGAGAGGAAGCTGCAGATGCCTTGGTTCAATCATGCGGCATTGCCGCGTGGGCTTTCGGGAGTGAGCTGGTGGAGAAGGGAAGAGGATACGAGATTGAAAGCGGCGTCGCGATAATTATCTTGGGACTTGGGACGCCAAGAGATAAAGGGGTTAGGGTTATGCATGTCACTCCCTGTCACATTCATCCCTTTTTCATTGTTTACAAAGTACGAATAACTATACGAAGTCTTGTAGGCAAATTGGAGTTGGCAGGGGAGGTAGCGCATAAAAGAAAAGAAACACAGTTAACCAATACACATCACATCGCAAACAGAGAATCGTTATCCATTGCCAGATGTTAATACTACACCAGCCATATTCCCAGTTCCCCGACCCGTCTATTGGTACACCGCACCATACACACCCTTTTGTTAAAACAATCAGCTTGTACCCCTTGCAACCTCCCTCATCTCCCCATCCGTCCCCACCATCCCGGCCGCCTCCCTCGCCTGCCTCATATCGGCCAGACTCAACCTCAAATCCCTCGCGTACGGCCCAAATGCGTTGACCAGCCTCTCCAGCGCATCCCGCAGCGCGGCCAACACCTCCTCCACCTCGGGGCATGACCTCTCCCCACCGACGTCGGTCCAGTGGTCCGCTAGAGAATTGCTAAACCCTTCCAGCTTTTTGGTGACGGTCGTCAGGGTCCGTATGATGGTGGCAACGTCCCGCTGCACGTGGCCGTACTTGTCCTCGCGGAGCGAATGCACAGCGAGGCCGGACAGCGCGTACGCTGTGTTGACGTACAGGCTCGGTTCGCCGTAGGGCGACCCAAACACGGCGTTGGCGAGGCGCCGGCGGTACTGCTGGCGGAAAGGCCACCCGGCGGGCGAGCCCAGCACGCGGAGGGCGGCGTCCTTGAAGAGGCCTTGTGTATCCTCGGTCCCAGTGGCTTCTTTCTGGGCCTTGAGGAGCTGCTGCTTGGCGGACTCGACCATCCGCTTCGCCGTGGGGGAGAGCTGCGAGCCTTGCCCCGGTGACAAGGTCGCTTGGTTGACGGCCTTTTCGACCTGGCTGCGGAGCCCCTTGCGCTGGGGAATAGGCTGGAAGATTTCTTCATCCCGGGGGGGTTCGGTAGTCCGGGCTTTTTGTTGTTGCTGCTGTAGTTGTTCAGGAGTTGCGTCGGTGCTGGTGGGGGGTGCAGGCGGGGCGGTGTATGCGTCCATGCTGGTTTCCATGGCCTTGATGGTGTCGATGCAGATTTTGTAGACCTGTGACCACATGGGCCCGTCCTTCCGCTCGATGTCTTCGTAAATGGACTTGCGACGGTCGGAAAAGTCGCGGGCAATGAAGGCCAGCTCCCACATGGCGAAGCACTAAACTGTCAGTCAGTCAAAAACAGAAAACAATATGGTTCTAACACACCTTGATGGAAAGTTTCTTATTCTTCAACCCATTAAGGAGACTGCCGTTCGGGTCCTTCGAGTCCGACGTCAACGGCCTCCCATTCTTCAGCGGGTGCTTAACCAGAAAGAGCGAGAAAGCCGTATTGGCGGCAGTCCAGGCAAACATGAGAACCAGGCCCACGAGAAAGCAACGAAACATGGCAGGGACGGCGTAGGGGAGCGAAGAAGGGAGCATGTTACTCCGGGGTAGGCTGTAGATGGGCCGCAGGAAAACCAGGGTGGTCTTCCAGATCGTGCCGCGCACCGTCAACGGGTAGAGGACGCAGCTGACGATCATGCCGATAATGGAGTGATTGAGCGTGTATACCAGCATCGCAGGGAGCTGGTCTCTGAACCGGCGCACCTGGTGGGACACGTCCCCTTCCTCCGACTTGCCGTCCCCATTCTGTGGTCTCGCCACCCCAAGAGACAACCGGTCGACATCCCTAAAGAGGTGTTGCAGTGCCTGATAAACACCGAGGAGCACCAAGTGGGAGATCAGGAAGAGTGGCTTCTCGTTCAGCCTTGCTCGGTCGGCGGTGAAGTAGGTGACGAACTCGAGCCCCGACGCGTCCGACAGCGACCAGAGGTAGATGAATCCGAAGATGAACGCAGACAGGGTATATGTGAGGATTGTTTCGGCAGTTTCTAGCCTGGGCGCATAACGGAAGAAGGTGTGGACGCCCGAGTCGGATGTGCGTAGCCCAGGGTGGTATTGGGAGATTCGGAGGATGATGACGATGATACCGCAGAAGAAGAGGGAGACGGCGCGGAAACCGGTAGGACCTAGGGGGAACCAAGACCAGAACCCTGCGGTCTAAAGTTAGAAATCGGAACCGTCTTGAGCAAACGGGAGGTAGGAGAAGAGGAAGAGAGCTGAACGTACAGGAGCTCCAACTCGCCAAGAACAGGGCCTGGAGGTATGCGATGGCCAACACGCACAAGCTCGCTGTCGCAAAGCGCCGCTGCAACGCGGGTTGTAGGAAATCCTTATAGGGAGATCTCCTGACTGTTGCTGGCGCCATCCTCGCTGCGCATTGTCGGGTCGTTTGCTGGTTGGCGGTGGTGGATGACAACTGCCAGTGGAAGTCGGTTTGTAAATAAAAAAGCTGTCTTTGGAGCCCACCAGGCGAGACCCAGCAGTTGTTGCAATGGGAGACGCGCAGCACCTAGCAGGGTCCGGGGTCTCGCCGTCCCACTCAAAGAAAGCTTTCTGATTGGTCTGATGCCCCATTACGTCGATGTGGGGCGTACTGTCACAGGAACAGGACTCCAGGCGGCCCCAGACGGCCCAGGCGACCAACCTCGCAACACTGACCAAGAAGCCTCGTTTCACAACCAAATCACAACTAAAAGCAATCGCCGCCCCGTCGCATCGCTCGCTATCCATTTTCGCTATTTTACTGCGAAATCCGATCGCTTCAAACTCCCCAACCAAGACTGCACCACAGCCGCCATGTCGTTCGATCAGCTCTCGTCGCTCGAGGCGGGGCGCGGCAGTTCCGGCTATACCGACGACCCCGATTTCCAGCGCCTCTCGCAGGACCTGATGAACAAGTTATTCAAACTCAATGGTAATAACCAGCGACTAAGTGGGGAGGTCGGGCACCTAGGGACACGGCGCGACACCCCGCGGGTGCGGGAGCGGGTGCATGAGTTGATCGAGGAGTCGCGCAGTACGTTCAAGGACGTCGGCGAGGGAGTTAAGAAGGTTCAGGCGTGGGAGGATGTCACAGTATGTCCCCTCTCTATTTAAATCATACATTCGCCGTTTTACCCCTGGCTAACGTGCGCCCACAGCCAACACAAAAATACATGCAACAAAAGCTCTCGCGCGAGTTCCAATCCTCCCTCTCCGAATTCCAATCCCTCCAACGCCAAGCCCTGGAGAAACAAAAAGCCTCCGTCTCCGCCGCGCGCGCAGCAGTCGACCACGAAGACGAGTCGGGCGGCGGGGCGGGTGGCGGCGGCCCCTCGAGCCCGCAGCTCCTCCAGCAGCAGGAACTGACGCGGCTGGCGCCGCAGGACGAGGTGGACTTCCAGGAGGCGCTGATCATCGAGCGCGAGGAGGAGATTCGTAACATCGAGCAGGGCGTGGGCGACCTGAACGTGCTGTTCCAGCAGGTGGCGCAGATCGTGACCGAGCAGGGCGAGGTGCTCGACACCATCGAGCGCAACGTCGAGACCGTGCGCGACGACACCCAGGGGGGCGACCGCGAGCTGCGCAGCGCCGCGAGGTATCAGAAGAATGCGCGCAGCAAGGCGTGTTGCTTGCTGGTTATTTTGTCGGTCATTCTGACCATCATCTTGCTGGCCGTGTTTCTAGGGTGATGGCGGCTGGTTAATGTCTCCTGGGATGGTATTTTTTCTTTCTTTTTTTCCTAGATGAGCGGATGGGAAGCGGGCGGTGTAATTGGGATCATTTTATTGTCCCACATGAAGGCGTTTGGAGTCGGCCTCTTGGGCTATGCCTGTCGTTCTATTTGTACAGTCCCAATAAATGTTTTTGTTCGTCCTGCTTTGTCGTGTCACGCCGCGGCGGCATAACGAAGAGTAACCCCTCCCTCTTGGCTGACCGGACGGGCTTGGGCATCGGTATTAATTTCGCGATGATTAAGGTTTGCACCCGGGTCAGTGACGCCGAGGCGATCCAGTAGAGATGGAGCGCGGCCGGCATGTTGATAGTGAGGGGCCCGACGGCCACGCCCACCACAAGCAGCGCCCTCTGGATCCGCAGGCGCCACTTTGCACTGCCGGTCCAGGTTTCCGGCGGGGGGTCTAGACCCAACAACTGCCTCCACGCGAGTTGCGTCTTGGGCACCACGTTCGCGACGAGGATGGCCGAGAGAGCGAACGGCAAGATGTGGAGCGGGTCGGCGATGGTCAGATCGGGGAACCATAGACAGCCCTCCGTGGCCATAGATGGCTCTGCCACATACGTCGTCATCGGGTCCCACACCCCTTCCTGTCCCGTAGCCGGCTCAACCAACTCCGGATTCCCAACCAGCCCCGTCTCCTCGGGAACGAAAACGGGCTCCGAACCCGGGGACCTGTCCCTCCAACCCCCCAACAGCAGCACCCTCCGCAACCCTTCTTCGCCCCCTCCGCCCCATAAAGCAACGTCCCCAACAACCCCCTCGGCCCACCACACATCCTCCTCAACCCCTCAATCCCCGCCACCCAAAACGAGAAACACCACCAACGCCGGCGCCCAATCCTTCCACGCCTGCACGCCCCACCGTCTCCCCCTCGCCCTCGCCTCCGCCTGCGTCGCCTTGTTCACCAGACTCTGCAAACTCTGCGTCTTCTTCCCCCGCGGGCTTCCTCCCCAGGTTCTGCTGCTCCCCCACAGCAGCCAGAATCTGCTCCCGGTTCTCGACCTGCGCGCGCGCCAGCGACGCCATCCCCAGCGGGTAGAGCTCGGCGCGCCGCGCGATGACGCGCCGCGCGTAGATGGTCGTGGGGATGCGCGTGAACAGGCCGAGGGCCAGGGCGAAGAGCGGGATGGTGACATACCAGGGTGTGCCGGTCGTGGCGTGGATGGTGGTGAGCGCGGTTTGGGAGGCCCAGAGGAGGGTGAGCCTAAAATTGGAACAATCAAGTGGACCCCCTTTGTCCTCCAAGTCCTCCACCCGGGGTCCTTCTTAATCGTTGTAGTGCTGGGGGGGGGAGAGGGTTGGCCGCTTTGATGGGGATGGCTTCGTTTTGGTGTGGGTGAGAGCGAGGGGTTGGAGGAGGGAGGAGTAGCTTCGGCGAGATATTGAGAAGGGTGTTGAGATGTGAAGAGGGAGGCGGGCGGGGTTAGCCCGAAGCCGGGTTACTGCCCTCATGGTTGAGGTTGCCATTGTTTGAGTCGAATGGGTTGGTGTCGACTCATTGGCGCCGTCTATATGAGTGAGTTTTGAAAATGATGAACAACTTCTGAGCTCCTCCACATCTCCAAATTCCCAAATCAATGCACCACTGTGGTTCGACGCCCAGAATCGAGCTCTGGCTTGGCAAACGCACCTCGCTCCAGGACCACGTGGGGAGTGGGTCATGCTGGAGCTCCTGCAGACAAGCGACGTGGGGCCGTGAACCGTCCTATGACTTTGACCAGCTGTCCAACACGATACCGTAACTAACTTGTAATCGACCTTTTCTTTTTTTTATTCGAGTCCGGGAATGGGCCACAGTCCCTCGTTACTATTCGTTCCTACTAGTTTCTATAACAACCCCTTGAATACAGCTCCCGCTACGAAGACGCCATCGAAACCCCCTTTAACGAACGACCGACCGACCGACCCGACGCTTCTCTCTTTCGAAGCTACCTAATCACTCGCCCATGGCCGACACCTGCGCCGGGGACAGCGCTGCAACCTGCTCACCTCCGACACGCCTTTTCTCCATGGACAGCAAATTCTTCTACTACTGCGTACTCCAGGCGCTGATCTTCATTCCGCTCGCACGCTTCCTTTATCCCCTGCTGTGGCGGACAGCCGGCTCCTTCCTCGGCTGGTACCTGCGCAAAAAGACCGAGGGGCGCCGATGTCATATTCTCGAACTTGTCGAATCGGACGAAAAGGAATACCGCGAGAGTAGGAAGAACAACACCAGCACGAGCGGTGAAAACGGGGAGGACGGTGAATGGGAGAAGGTGGACGCCCACACAACCGGGACGTCTAAGAACGGCGATAAGGGTAGCGGCGATGACGACTGGGATGGCATTGTGGGCTTCTTTCATCCGTTCTGGTGAGTGAGGGAGCTATTTCGCTATTCTCCGGCAGGAGGTTCTGACCGGACAAGCAATGCCGGGGGCGGCGGAGAGAGGGTCCTCTGGGCCGCCATTCGAGCAACACAGAAGCGTTGGCCCAAAGCCAAGTGTATCGTATACACCGGCGACCACGGCGTATCCAAGGACGACATCCTTGCCCGCGTAAAGGTAAGCCCACCAACACAACATACCCACCCTCCATACGGCATCCAGCTAACCCGTGCACAACAGAACCGCTTCAACATCCACCTCCACCCTCCCACCGTTAACTTCCTCTACCTCTCAACCCGCCATTGGGTCCTCGCCTCCACCTGGCCGCGCTTCACCCTCGCCGGCCAATCCTTCGGCTCGATCATTCTCGCCTGGGACGCCTTCTCGCTGCTGGTACCCGACATCTTCGTTGACACGATGGGCTACGCCTTCGCGCTGGGGCTATCCAAGTTTCTCTTCGGCAGCGCCGTACCCACGGGCGCCTACGTCCACTACCCGACCATCTCCACCGACATGCTCGACTCGCTCAACCCGGCGAGAGCAGGCGGCGCCGCGCCGCAGGGCGTCAACGCGGGGCAAGGGGTCGGGATACGCGGCGCGCTGAAGATGATGTACTGGCAAACCTTCGCGCGCGTCTACTCCCGCGTAGGCGCCTCCGCCGACGTCGTCATGACCAACTCGACCTGGACCCAAGGGCACATCAAGCAGCTGTGGGGCCCTCTGCGCGCCAAAAAACAGGCCGCCGCTGCCGCCACCACCACCACCGACACGGACATCGCCGTCGTATACCCGCCCGTGGCCGTGCGCGAGCTAGAGCACGAGGTCGAGGTCAGCCGGGCGAGCGAAGCGCAGCGCGAGAAAGTGCTACTATACATCGCGCAGTTCCGGCCCGAGAAGAACCACACGCTGATCCTGCAGGCGTTCGCCGACTTTCTCAAGTCGGGCAGCGCGGCGGCGGCGGCGCGCGGCGCCCGCCTGGTGCTGGTCGGCAGCGTGCGCGACGACCAGGACTCCAAGCGCGTCTACCAGCTACGCCTGCTCGCCAACGAACTGCAGGTCCGCGACCGGGTCGAGTTCCATCTGGATGCCTCGTGGCCCGAGATTTTGGACTGGCTGCGCCGCGCGTCGGTCGGGGTGAATGGCATGTGGAATGAGCACTTTGGGATTGGCGTCGTGGAGTACCAGGCGGCGGGGCTGGTGGCCGTGGTGCATGATAGTGGTGGGCCGAAGCTGGATATTGTGGTGGATGTGGAAGGGGAGCCGACTGGTAAGTTTTTGCGGTGTCTTTGTTTGCGATGGAAGGGGGAGTTCGTTGCTAACGTTGTTGATCAGGTTTCCATGCGACGACTACGGCCGAGTTCGCGGACGGGTTCGAGAAGGCTTTGAGCCTGCCGGATCCGTATGCTGTTCGTCAGCGGGCGAGGCAGTCGGCCAAGAGGTTCACCGAGGAGGAGTTTGCCAAGCGCTGGACGAAGCAGATGGAGAAGCTGGTGGCGGCGAGGGCGAAGAAGGAGAAGGCGAAGAAGGAGAAGGCGAAGAAGGAGAAGGCGAAGAAGGCGTGATGTGGTTGATTCTGGTTTCTTTTCCTGCGTTCCTTCAAATAGAACATGGATACCCCTTTCCTATCATCAGGGTTAGGAGCAGGTGTTTGGTCTGCATGGGTTTGGGTAGCAGGTCGTTCTCAGAGCACAATCCTTTCACACTTGTCTGGAGGTAGGTTGTTTATAACCTCCCGAAAAAGGCCTGTCTATGATCTCTAGGTAATTACAACCCCCTCGTCAACCGCCCTACGCATCAACCCTATTCAAAACAGCCACGCCCTCAACATGCCCCGTCTGCGGGAAGAAATCAAACTCCTGAATACTCTCAATCTCGTACCTCGCCCCCCCCTCACCGGCCTCCTTATCCCCCTCCACCGCGCCCCTCACCAACACCCCCACATCCCGCGCCTGCGTATGCACATTACAGCTCACATACACCACCCGCCGCGGCGCGAACCGCAGCAGCTGGCGCAGGAAGCTGGCGTCGCAGCCCTTGCGCGGCGGGTCCAGCACCACCACCGTCTCGTCCGGGTCGTACGCGCTCACGCTCTGGAAGAGCTGGGGTGCGTCGGCCGCGATGAACCGGCACTGCGTCTCGGCGAGCCCGTTGAGCGACGCGTTGCGCCGCGCGTAGGTGATGGACTTGTCCGCGATGTCGATCCCGATGCTGCCGCCGGGGAAGAGGGCGGATTGCGTGATGGTGAAGAGCCCGGAGCCGGAGTAGGCATCGATGAGGTATTTGATGGGTTTTGTGGTGGTGGTGGTGGTGGGGGGGAGGATATGCTCGCGGATGTAGGCTGTGAAGGGTGGCAGGATGGAGTTGTTGTTTTGGAAGAAGGAGCCCGCGGGGTTGGTGAAGACGAAGTCGTCGATGTACTCGGTTGAGGTGGCGTTTTGGTCCGTGATGCACGTCTTGAAGTCGGTGTGCGTGTCGCTTTCGACGCGCAGCGCGGTGGCAGGCGTCCCTTCCGGCACCTCGATGGTGTCTGTGGGGGAGGCCTTGGGCACACGCTTGGTGCTCTCGCGGAGGAGGATGGTTGCGCCCTTGGTGTAGTTGCCATACTCGACGGCCATGCGGGCGCGCTCGTCTGTGATGCCCTTGCGCACAGCCTCGGTGGCGATGGGGCAGTCCTCGATGTCCAGCACCTTGCGCGTGGCCTTCGGTGTAAAGCCGATGGGCGGCATTGACTCGTGGCTTTTCTTGGGCCCTCGCCTGGAGTTACCTGGGGGGCCGTCAAAGTGAGGCGTCAACTTGGTGCGGTAGCCGTACTGTAGCGGGCTGCCAATGGTGTCGAGCACCTCTGGGATTAGCTCGGGCGACAGTTGGGAGAAGTTCCGGTACGCTTTGACGACGATGTTCTTCTTGATCTTGAGCTGTTCATCATAATCGAGCATCTGGAACTGACACCCGGAGCACGTGGCAAAATATTGGCACTTGATCCGGCTGTCGTCACGCAGAGCGGACGGCTTGACGACCGAGATGAAGTCGGCGGCTGAGTACCCTTCGTCGTGATTGTGGCGGTACACCTTGACCTTTACCGTGTCTCCGGGAACAGAGAACGACACGGCGTAGATGTGATCTGACCCCTTTTGCTTTGCTAGCCCTTCCCCTGTTGACGACAGCTCAACAACCTCAACTTCGATCTCGCTGCCCTGCGCCGGCAAAGGCACCTCCTCGGCGGCGTCACCATTCTCGGTCCCATTCTCAACCCCATCAGATATTTTCTGGGAAGCCAACAACGCCTGCACATCTGCCAGAAGCACTTCCTCGTGCGATCCCTCCTGGACGGCCTTCTGCTGCTTCCTCCTGTGCTTCGCCCCCTTGCGGTGATGGTTCCCCTGGAATGGCCGCTTGCCGTGTTGTTTCTGGCCGGTGGTGTGAGGGGCCTGTGGCGTTGCGCCAACGTCTATTGTGGTTTGACCAGTAGCCATAGTGAATTTGCTTCGTAACCCGAATCCAGTCGTGAATAATTGGCTGCGGACAAGAGATGTAAAAGTGGATGAAGGTCTCGAAAAAACTCTGATAGCGTTGAGTCGTTGCATTCAGATATAAATAGATAGATGCCAGCTCTGACATCAAATCACATCTGAAATCCACCAAAATTTGAGTTCTCCTTTAACTGCAGGGCAGTGGGGGAACAGCAGTGAAAATGGTTGAAACAGTCAATTTTCGCCTCCCCAATTGAAGTTTGAAAGGTACGTACCCTCCACACACACACACACACAAAATTTATTCCGCCCGGCGGGCCTAACCCGAAAGGGCAACTATCATGCAATCTACTAATACATATCCTAAAATGGATCCTGGTCTCATGAAGCCCGTACATCCTCCTTTTCTGGCTTATCTCCTTACAATTTTGCCCTCTCTGCTGCGGATGCTCGTGGGTTAGTAGTACGAATAGTAAGCTGGCTTGAAGGCTAGTCTCCAAGTGTCCAACGTCCTATCTTCGGCGGCTGAAGCGCGCTTACTCCATGTGACACGAGATGAAGGGGGGTGTTAGTCGGGGTTTAGGATGGTGAGGTTAGTTTGCTTCATTCTGTTGTTGTTCAGTCCTCAGACGACCTGTGGCAATGGCAAAACGTATCGTCGCCCGCACCGCCCGCATGTTGGGGGACCAGTCCTTGTCATCCGAGGGCGACTTTCCTCCCAGGTAGAAGGAGAGGTTCCCCCCTGTGGACATCCGTACATTGCAGCATCTCCCTACGGTGTTGATCCCATTGCTTGCATCGGAAGAGGAAGTGGTCCACTGTCTCTCTGGCTTGTCCACACGTACACTGATCTGACGGTGCTGCTTTGATGCGATGCAGGTATGTGTTGAGCTTGGCCATGCCTGTTCTAAGCTGGGCAAGCACGCTGGCCTCGCTTTGGGACAGGTGGTCGTATAATAGTCGAGTGTGCTTCCCAGGTAACGCTATATCGACTCTCTTGGAATGTCTGCCCACTTTGTCAGGTAAGGACGTGGGCGGTGCCCGCTTTGCCCATGCGATACGGAGGGCAGGAGAGACCGAATTCAGTGTCCAGATATTCAATGTTGAGAGGTTGTCCGCACGGACAGTGCCAGGGGAGCTAAGGCCCACACGGTGCGCCGGCAACCAACTTTGTCGGGCGACCAGCGCGCTGCGAAAATGGCCGCAGCTGAGACATGGCGGCACAATATCCACTAGCCATTTTCGGCGCCAACAAAACAGGAAACGCGTGACCGACCTGGGCGCTTAGGGATAACTAAGAATGTGATTATATACATAGCGTTGGCTAAAAGAGGACAACCCGAGAGTCATATAAGTAGTTTTGCGGAGCCATATATATGCGGCGGTGATCTGACGCTGTGTGGTCGTCGGTGTCTGGGTCGTTAGCTACGCTACGCCACACTGGCTGTGGCTGGAGGGCAGCTGAGACTGAAGAAGTTCAGCCGCAAAACCACTCTGACAGCGAAACATCATACCAACAGCTGACTGTTCTACAGTACTGTAACTGTAATCTGTATATAGACAATCAATCGACTCGATCGCCAACGATAGCACAAATGTCTGCGTCTTTCGGGTCCAACCACCATGGTCTCCAGGTAGGGTACAATTATGGGTCGATCGAGTTCCCCCCGCCGGGTAAGATTACCGTGGCACCGTGCAGAGCCGATGGGATGCCCCACTAATGTTCAGATCTCAGAAAGACGGGAAACGCCGCCGATTCCCTTCGCGACCATCCCCTTCTCCCGCGACCCCGATTTCGTCAACCGTGGAGACATTCTCGATCAAATCGACGAGCGCTGTTCCGAGCTGGCCGGCCGTGTGGCCCTCGTGGGCCTGGGCGGTGTCGGCAAATCGCAGTTGGCCATTGAATATGCGCATCGGATCGCCGCGGGGCATCTTGACAGATGGGTATTTTGGGTCCACGCCGGCACGCAGGCGCGTGTCGAAGAGGGTTTCAGAAAGATTGCCGACAACGTCAAGCTAGCAGGCCGAAACCAGCCCGGGGCCGATATCCCACAGCTTGTCTACGGCTGGCTGTCCAACGAGCGGAACGGCAGATGGATCATAATCCTTGATAGCGCTGACGACCGCAATGTATTCTACAGTAGCGACAACGTATGCAACAGGAAACCATTTGCAAACTTCCTACCACAGAGTCGAAACGGGTCGATCATCATCACAACACGCAATAAGGACCTGGCTTCCAGGCTGACCGGACGCCGCCAAAACATCATCGAGGTCGGACCGATGGTGCAGATGGACGCCCTAACGCTCCTGGAGAGGAAGCTGGGATCAATCCTGAATACCGATGCGGCAGCCAAGCTTGTACGCGCGCTCGACTTTATTCCGCTAGCCATCAGCCAGGCTGCCGCCTACATACAGGCAAGGGCACCGCGAAGCTCTCTCGAGAAGTACCTTTCTGAGTGCCAGGAGTCTGAGCGCAAAAGGAGCAGGCTTTTAGAGCATGATGCTGGAGACCTACGTCGGGATGGAGGCGCGTCGAACGCGATTCTCACGACATGGCAGATATCTTTTGACCATATTCGGTCCGAGCGGCCTTCTGCGGCGGATCTCCTTTCGCTTATGAGCTTCTTTGATCGACAAGGCATTCCGGAGTCGCTCCTCAAGTCCTCTAAGCAGACCAAAACCGCAACTCGAGCAAGTGGTTCCGAAGATGCAGAAGACTCAGGATCCGACAGCAGCGATGACGAGATGGACGGTCGGTTCGAAGACGATGTGGCAATATTACGGGACTACGATCTTATCGTCGTGAATGAGGCGGGGGACCAGTTTGAGATGCATGGGCTCGTGCAGCTGTCGATGAGGAAGTGGCTGGAAACGTTTCGGCAGCAGGAGACGTTCAAGCAGCAGTTCATCGAGCAAATGGCAGCGTCATTCCCGACAGGGGAGTACGAGAACTGGGTGAAGTGCTGGAGTCTCTTCGCGCACGTTCAAGTGGCCCTTGGTTACCAACCCAGCGAAGAGACAGTCGAAATATGGGCGACACTTTTGCATAACGGGGGATGGTATGCATGGTCGCAAGGGAGATATGAAGTTGCAGAGCAGATGCTAGGCAAGGCGAGAAATGTTCGCAAGAAAAAGTTGGGTGCAGAGAATATGGCGACTCTTGCAAGTATGTCACTATTTGCTCTGGTCCAAATGGACCGCGGCCAGTGGGGAGGAGGCCGAGAAGCTGTTTGTGCAGGTGATGGAGACTCGCAAGACCAAGCTCGGGGCCGACCACCCTTCCACGCTGACGAGCATGGCCAACCTGGCATCGACATTTTGGAACCAGGGCCGGTGGGAGGAGGCCGAGAAGCTGGACGTGCAGGTGATGGAGACGAGCAAGACCAAGCTCGGGGCCGACCACCCTTCCACGCTGACGAGCATGGCCAACCTGGCATCGACATACAGGAACCAGGGCCGGTGGGAGGAGGCCGAGAAGCTGGACGTGCAGGTGATGGAGACTCGCAAGACCAAGCTAGATACCGGTTTTCCTTTTTCTTTTTTTTTAAAAGGTATTCTGTGACGAACCTGTCTCTGGACCCGTCCTGTTAGGGTTCAGCTTCGGTTGAAGGTATTCTCTCAAGGGTGCTTAGGTTCGGTGCAGCCAAAAGGTGCACAACAAAGACTTGGCTCAACAGTAGGCTCTCGAGCTTGTAGCGAACTGTAGTTGTGATTGCTAACTGGAGAACACCCAGAGCTCTCCAGAACGAGTGACTATATACTATCTCGGCCTCTAGGTACCTTAGTACCTATGCTCCTAGATCGTCTTATCTATCTACCGATCCTGTTCTGACTGGTTACTCTGGGATGGTGAATTCCTCTTCACGATCCGTCCCTGATTGGCCGATGCCGCTCCCAGCGCGGTCCCGCTTGGTTATGCGACCATAACCGTGACATATTGTCACCGACCCTGCAAGTGCACAATACTATATCTATCGGGTTGTCCGCTTCACCTAAGGTTATGTATGTATATAACCATATTTTTATGATTCGTATACAACTTCGCACGTCCAACGGCCTAAAACGGCTAGTTAATGCATTTTGTGCTTGCGACATTTCAGCTGCAGCCAGCTTTGCAGCTCACTGGTCACTCTACGCTGTGGGCTGCCACGCACTGTGTGAGTCACAATCACTTCCAAAACTGGCCTGACTGACAATCTTTGAACCTTGAAAATCTGGACACTGATTTCGGTCTCTACTGTGCCAGGTTGGCTAACAGTTCCCGGTTGGCTTACAATCATCGTAACACAGCGTGTACACGAGCGCGTGCGAGGGCACACGGTGGTGTGGATGGTTAGATGCATAAATGGTCCGTGCGCCAGAAAGATGTGAAAGAGAAAAGCGGTAAGCCGATTTCGCTAGCGACTGTACATGCCCTTTCGGGTTAGGCCCGCCGGGCGGAATAAATTGTGTGTGTGTGTGTGTGTGTGTGTGTGTATATAGCTGCAGGGGCATTGATTGTGCTGAAGAGAAGTGTGTGCACGGACCAGCCCCGAGACGGCCCGGAGGTATGTCAAACTCAACAAGAAGGGAGTGGAAAAGGAGAGTAAACGGAAGAATACATATAAGTGAAAAGGGCTTCAGCGCTGTAAAAAATCCCTAGGTTGTTACACTACAAGCCCATCCGAGCGAGTCATACAACGCGGCTATCTCTCTGGGCGTCTTAGTAACGCTCCCAGAGCAAGTCAACCCCTGAAGCAAACCGAACAATGCCAGTACCGATGCTATACAATACCCATCCCAAAACCCGTTCGTGAACCAGGGGTTCATCCTCATCATACAATGCAGTCCCACCCAATTCCCATCCAAGTCTCCCGCATCCCCCAACCCATCCTTTACCCAAGCAGCACCTGCTCATATTGCTCTGGCTCCAAGTGCTCGCACAGCGTCCCCTGCAGCGCAGCCCTGCTCTTCGCAATGGCTGGGAGCACTCCCTCGATCTGGCCCAGGTTACTCTTCATGCTCTCCATATGGCTACCAATCTGCTGTGACAGCGCGAGCAGTTCTTCCTCTTTCAGGTCCTACAACGCCGTTAGCACACATTCCACTCTTCACGTTCGAATAGGTACCGCCGGGAAGGATAAGAGAAAACGCACCGTAAAAACCCCACCCCCTTCTCTCGCCGTCCCCTTCACAGCAACAACCTCCAACCCCCCATCCAAATACCCCCCCTCCCCCTCCCTCCCCCTTACCCCCACCCCACCAGCAAGGACATGTTCCCTGCCCCCCTCCCGCCTCTCCTTCCACCCCCTCGCCTGCGCCCTAGCATTCCCCTCCAGCCGCCTCAGACCCTCATACTCACGCTCCAACGCCCTCTCCTCACGCTCCTTCTCCGCCCGCAGCAACGCCACGA